GAATGTAACTCAATTTCGGTGTAGAATGTAGTTAAGTTTGGTGTAGAACGCTACTCAATTTCGGTGTAGAACGTAGTTAAGTTTGGTGTAGAATGCAACTCAATTTCTATGTAGAATGTAACATAGCTACATTCTACCTAACAGGATCACTAGTTCTACCATGAACATTACCTAGTTTGCTGTAAGAATATGTGCTGAACTTAATCTTACATTTCAGCGATTTACGCGTTGAAGGTCACCTAGTAATGATATTTGCGGAACCTAATCATTTTTCCACCAAATTTCGCGCTGAGGTTGACCCTTGTGTGTGTAGGTGGACCGTTCTGTGCGTGTCTGAACTCAGCGAACAACACGTACTGGTGCGTGCGCACCATCAACGCCACGCACAACACGCTTTATTGCGAGTTCATCACCGGCCTCATCACCTACTATGACCTCAACATCGGTGAGTGCCTCATTACCTACTATGACCTCAACATCGGTGAGTGCCTCATCACCTACTATGACCTCCGGTGAGTACCTCATCACCTACTACGACGTAATACAAGTGTTAAGTTGTAATATCATTACCTAATGTAATGATCTTTCGTGCCGAGGTTAAATAATGATCTCGAGTTAACACAATTAATTTAATATTAATGAAAAGTGAACACTTAAATTAAGAAATCGAACAAGTTAACGCGAACATGGGTATCGTAATATGGTACAGAACTCTCTTCTTTCATATGCTAGGGCACAGCATAGTAGAGGTTTCTCACATCACAGTAACAAATTATATATGCACAACACTGAGTCTTCTTGATAGCCTCTTGTGATCTTCTATCCGGGTTGACTTCTCCCTACATGAACAAAATCGAAGTTACAATTAGTCGGGTAATTCCCTACCAGATATCTCACATAATATCAACGCACCAAATAAATACAATATTGATAAATATCGACAGTTACACATACCTCTGCAGTTGTCTGAATTCACTAAACTAGTCCTTGCTTTGGTCCCACAACAAGTCAGCTCTGAATTCTTACACTGCTACGGGATCGTCAACACCTTAACTTATTCTACGTCCCACACATTAGTTACTATGGTTCTTATTCTCCATCTGTTTCCCAAAGTACACCTGAATATTCAGCTAAGATCCCTACACCTAACATAACCCTTCCCCCCAGACCCGTACCAGCTGCGTAACGTGGCGTTCATGCTGAGCGACGGCGCCGTGGTGCACCTGCACGACGCCCTCACCAGGCTGCGCTCCTGTCGGGGGGCGGGGCAGTGCGATCTGCTGGTGGGTGCCATGTGTGGCAGGCAATATGTGCCCTCTGGGCGCTGCTGAGTGACATGTGTGTTAATGGGTGCCATGTGGGGCAATAGGTGCCATGTGTGGTAATAGGTGCCATGTGGGGCAATAGGTGCCATGTGTGGTATTATGTGCTATCATGGAAGTAAAAACATGCGAAAATCATCTTAAAAGACATATAAACAAAGAGTATAATATCTAATAATATCTAAAAAGTTATACCCTGAAAGTAATACCGTGATAATTATGCAATGAAAGTATCGCTTCCTAAGGAATAATATGAATTAATGCAATGGAGCTAATGCCTTGGAAGTAAAGTCTATGAAAGTAACGGACTTATTAGAGTAAAAGCAATTATTTCTTTTAATTTCACAGCATTCATTATTTTTATGTGTTTTTGACTAAAAAGTAAACTCAATCTTGTTCTTAGGAGGAGGCCTCGGATGTGGCATCGGCTGAAAGTTCAATTGGGGACGAGCTCTCCGCTCAACCCATTGATGGTTCAAACCCCTTAGGCGGAAGAGGTTCAAGCCCCTCACGTGGGGAAGGTTCAAGCCCCTCACGTGTGGAAGGCTCGAACCCCTCACGCAGAGAAGGCTCAAGCCTCTTCGGAAGCGAAGAAATTTTTTCTGATTTTAACGCCAGCGAAGAAGAATTGCATGTAGACCAAAGCCCACAACGACATCGCGACCCAATCAGAAATCGCATCAACCATCTCCAACCAATCAACTCTAACGCAATAATTTCTGGTACAGTCCACACTAGCGCAGTTACTTCAGGCCCAATTAGCTCTAACTCAAACACTTCTCAGTCAATCAGCTCTCGTAGAACCACTTCTGGTCAATATTCCGTGCAAAATATTAGCGCTTCCAATGATGGCCGAATTGTTTTGAATTTCAACTTCAATGTTGACACTCAACCTGACACTGGCAGAGTCCAAGATGTAAACAATCAGGGGCGATACAGAACCGGTGCGGAACGCAAGCTTGGGCCACATGGAACTGCGGAAGACCCTGAAAACGAGCCTTACAGAACCGGTGCTGAATCTGTGGATGGGCCACGCAGAACCGCCAAAGAACCCGACGATGTGTCATTCAGAACCGCCAAAGAACCCGAGGATGTGTCGCTCAGAACCACGGAAGAACCCAAAAATGGGTCTATCAGAACCGGCGATGAGTACGAGGATTTTCTGGATGAAGGCTCAGAAGAATTTCAAAATCTTTTGATCCAGGGCTTGGATCGGCGGCCATTTGGCTCTAGGATCGACGATTCTTTAATCCACAATAAAGAAGAATCTGATAACAACAATGTTGTTAATGGTGATGAAATATCAAACTCGGTTCTTGGGACACAAAGGAACTTGGATTTTAATCTTGAGTCGAGTAACGAGGTCACCGATAATATTCTTTCTGGTGGCCATCGAATATACAGAGAAAGGCCCTTCACTTTCGGGCCCACACAGCCCCAGCGAAGGAGGCCCCTGGACAATGGAAGCCTGGGACAGCTGGGACGTAAGTCCCCAAGACCAAATTCCCATCCCAGACCCGAGGAAGGCCAGAGACGCTCCAAGAAAGAAGAGAAGAAGCATCGCAAGGAGACGCGAAGGTTGCGTAAAGAGCAAAAAAAACGTCGACTAGAGCAGTGTAAGTCATTTTATAACTTGTTCATGAAGACTTCTAGACATTTAGTGTTTGACATGCGCAGTGCAGATGATAGTTTAGTAATTGTATATGATAATTTAGTGCCCTATAATATGTATCTCACGATAATCATTACCCTGTTCAGTATAAGTTATGAGGACACTTCAGTATCATTATTATGAACAGTATAATTCATGTCTTTGTGCAGTGTAAAGTATCTCATGATAATAATCATACTGTACAGTATCATAAAGAACGTCGGGTTGTGCAGTGTAAAGTATCTCAGGATAATCATTATACTGTACAGTATCATAAAGAACGTCATTTTGTGCAGTGTTGGCTGACTATGAACGTCAGGCGGCGCAGACGTCGTCAGGTGATCAGGAGGAGCGGCGACGTAAGCGACGTCTGAAGCGCTGGCGACGTCTCGAGAGAAAACTCCAGCAAAACGCTGCTGCCGGCGACGAAAATCTGATTAACCTTCGCCACAGTCCTGAGTAAACTTAACGTTCTAACTCGAATATTTACATCGAAAAGTCAAAGTCTACCAGGTTATTGCAAAGTCAATGCAAATAACATAAAGCTGGGACACTATTTACGCGACCGAGTCAAATTAACGTGAATCTTATTTGTATTTGACGTAAAAATATTAATAGCGAACATATTAAAGTTATCAGTTGAATTGGAAAGTCACTGTTGACTTTTTTATTGAAAATCTCGAGTCAACTTCATAGGAACTTCGGTGAACTTAGTATTCGTGTACGCCGGTCACAATAAATAATTGCGTCGTAAATAATTTATTTTTATATGACAAATTATTTGCCATAAAAGAAATTGTCGCGATACCTCGCAACAAGAAATTCTTCAGTCTAACGATCCGACATTTAACGTTTTTCTGTTAAAAAACGTTTTTCATGAGAAACTTCCCTTACGCTTTTCAGCCTGATGAAACGTTTTTCTTGTTGGCCAATCTTGTTCATTGTTCTCACTTCAGTTGATACGAAGAAGGTTTTTTAATATTTCTTTTGCTTGTGTAGCAATTAGTTAACCAGACTGTTAACGTTTTAACCCTCGCCATGCTAAGAATATTAACCTGGTGCCATCTGGAGTAGCATAGCCTGCCATGTTGAAGTAGACTGCTTTTCTATAGAGTATATTTCCTGTGAACTGTGCTAAATATAGAATATTTTTTCTGCTGTATTGAAAAATATTTTTTTCGGTGTTTAGAGAATATTTTCTGTGCTAAATAGACAATAATATCTGTGCTTGAACGTATTTATAGGCGACATAGAAGACACTCGTGGTGTGCAAGAAATTTTGTTTAAATAGACTAATCAGGGTCGCGCTTACATAGACATTTTAGGCCGTAGTTTTATAACAAGTGTATGCTGAACTATGTTGTTTTTCAGCTCTTTTTTGAAAAAAAAACGTTTTTACTTAATCTATAATTTGTGATCGATACTTTATATGTGGTAATATCGTCCGCGATACATGTACGATGAGTGACGCCTCGGCAGCCGCTCTGCTTGGTTTGCTGTATTCATTTAGTTGACTTTATGATCATGTCTTCATGGTTTGATGTCTTCTAGATCTTTTCTTCTTGGTCTGCTGACTGTTTGGTATGGTCATCATGGTCTGTCGTCTTACTGGTTTTATCTTCATGGACTGCTGACTGCTGTCTTCATTGAGTTGTCTTCAAGGTCTACTGTCTTCCTAGTTTGCAGTCTTCATGGTCTACTGTCTTCCTAGTGTGCTGTCTTTATGGTCTACCTTATTCATGGCATTCTGTCTTCATGGTCTACTTCATTCATGGTTTGCTGTCCTCATGGTCTACTTCATTTATGGTCTGTTGTCTTGCACCTTCTAAAAGCCTTCAGTTGACTCCCATATTAAATCCCGAGCTAAATTTTTCACAACTAACCAATCCTACATGTACGGTAGTGAGGGACATTCCTGTAGGAGCGAAGGTCTTCATCACTTCAGATCCTTTAAAATGTTCTTTGCAAGCCTCACTCAATAATTCATACAAGCTCCGTGAATGTCTGTGTATGTTTTATGTGTGTGGTGTGTCGTCGTTGTGTGTGTTCCAAATGTATGTGGACAAGGTGCAGTTGCATGCATTTATGTAACCGTGAATGTTGATTTAACAAGAGTATTTTGCTGCGTGTGGTAATGTTGTCATTGAAAATATTGGGTCATAAGTAAATAATGAATCATCAGAACACCTCCCTTTTTTATCACAAAAATCATTCATTATCAATATTTTCATCAAGAAGAGATATTTATGGGAAGTAAGTAAAACGTTCAATTAAGCTTATTTAACCTGCGTTTCCCAATCAAATTAGATTTTTTTTGTATCTTGTGTTGCCAGTATTCACATTTTTGGATATTCGCTAAATACATATATGTTTGTATTTAAGAAATATGAATGAACATTACTTGAAAATATATTTTCATCTCATGGTGACGTAATTAACAGCATTCACTCACATTTTTAGACAACAGGATATTTTAAACAGGTTTGATTGGAGACCATAAAATTAATTTTATTTATACTTTTCTTATTAGTTTAACAATATATTTTACGCTGTTGAACATTACTCACCCATATTACCTACTTAAACCTAACTAACTCATTGTTAATCATTCATGATGAACAAATAGACGAGCAGTATGGTGATGATGTCATCTATTATTGTGATGTTAGTGTGATGTATTAGCCCTCATGTGGGTCATCCTGACACATTTTATTGCGTCGCATCACAATTTCGCCTCCACGGAACAAACTCATTATCTTAAATCTTTATCTCATTATCTCGAGTTATGACTCTTGCTTGCGTAGAGACGCTTAAGTTGAGTCTCATAGGTTGATAATCTCGTCTAATCATTCATGCTTGATTATTAATATCCTAATCATTCTAATGTGATTAATATAATTTTAATCAAACATGAATATTATTTAATGTTATGTGATTTACCCTAACGATGTTAATTATCATCAAAAAATCTTTAAAGTTAATTTCGCTCTTTATAGCTAAACACAAAACTTTATAAACAAATTCAGTGGCACGAATTTTAATGCATTGAGGTTACAATGATATGAAGTCTCAGCATTTTACTATATTTTGATTATTTAAAGCTTAATTAAAGCTGAATATTTTACTGAGGTTCCACTATGTGTTCAGAGAGAAATGTGTGAGGCTTTGTCCAAATGGCGATGCACTCTTTGCCCTGGCGTGGGTCATCCTGACCCAGTTTCGCCCGGCATAAAGACGTATCAGTGCTACGTCTGCTCGTGTTGTGCGTGAGAAAGTGCGTCACCATTTGAATAATATGCCCCATTCATTTTTCTTAGTGTTTTATATATTTATAATATTTTGCATCTATTATTGTGTAGTAATCAAGCATTGTTCAGTATATTGCAAATGATTTAACTTTTGCATGGCTGAATTATAATATATAAAGTTTGTTTAAAGTAACAGACACTAACAACAATTTAAAGAGCTTAGGCCTCTTAATTGTTTCTAATTGTGACTTTTAATTCCATGTTTTCTGCAAAACAGTTTCGGGAAAATGCGAGACAAAAGAACAAATTTTTTTGTCATTTCTATTACTGAAAGTACAACAGTTACATCCCACTACCGCATATATAAATGTATTATCAATGTTATTGCATATAATATATATGATAAATTTGTAATTAATAAAACAATAATATATAATTGAAAACATATTATCACATTCCATGGAAATACTTGTTTGTAATTGACGTCTTTTAAGCTTATTTGAGAAGCAACAACTTGAATCGCTTCATCGCCAGCCGAGTGTTATGCCTAGGAGAAATAAGTGGGTTATTGTTCAAATATCCTGACACAGTTTGGCCCAGCATGAGTACGGATCAGTGATACGTTCGCTGCCTGCTGGTTCTGTGTGTGAGAAATTGTTTGTTCCAATTTGTACCATTTATTTTTCTGAGCGTATTAATCAATACTCAGCATGAACGATGTATATTTTCTATTTTCATCACGATTATAACTAACTTATATGATAATCGTTAAATTTTATCCATCTTCTTATTTTGTGTGTAAACATTCCACATATCGTCAACATTCTTTTCGTCTCGACAAATATCTTATTTGTTGTTGATTTATTCTATATTAATTTCTTTGTTAATAGTACGTGAATATTCGGTATATTATCAACATGTCTTCTTCCTATTCATCACGACAAATTTGGTAACTATGGAAACGGTCTTCGCAGTCGCGCATTCGACAATTTTTCTTCTATCGCAATGCATCAATGAAAATTGTTATAGGTTTATAGGATCTTGATTATTTATATTAGTTACTTTTAAAAAGAAACAGTTCTTTTTTAGGTAATTACTTTTATTAAAATACTGTTTTATTTTGCGTGGAGAGAGAGGCCTCCTGGAACAAGGATGAAGTGTAAGCATACACTCGGAAAATTAATGGGTCTCATTGTCCAAATAATGACACACTATTTACCCACAGCACGAGCATAGTATGGACGTAGCACTTATACATCCTTTTGCCGGGCCAAACTGGGTCAGGATGACCCACACAAGGGCAAAATTTAATCGCTATTTGGACAAAACCTCCCTCATTTCTATGAGTGATATGTGTCTCTCCAGCACGTGTAAGTCGTAATATTCGCTCTCTTTTATTTAACTCAAATTTTCTTTTGATCTCAAACATGTAAGGATATTTTTTTACTTTTATTTGCTTAAAATTAAATTGATATTAATTAAAGGTTCTGTTTCACTGGGCAGCCAAGTATCAGGCAATCTTTTTATTTATGGTTTATCAATCAACTTGTTTTAATAAATTTTCAGTCAATAAACATTATATTGATTGACTGTCAGTCAGAATAAATTAGTTATAAACCTATAAATAAATTTTCCCTCATAATTATCAATCAAATGTGTCTTTTAACGCTGCAATTCAGATTTGCATGAATAATTTTTCGGTTGTTGTCTACTTCCATGTGTGGTGTCAACAATATTTGATATTGTTGATGAAACATCTGTTGCTTCATCGGGCTGTACAAGACAGTTAAATATACACTGTCTTACATTGTGTATATCTATCATGAATGATCAAACTTCTCCGAAAATTTCATTTGATAAAAATGGACAAAAATTCTTCATGTGTTGTTTCTTTGGCCCGTTTATATATTTTTATATTGTAAAGAAACTTCTCGTCTTTATATTTTTTTCAGTTTTTGCCGTCATTTATAACATAGCTTCTTGGCATCGGCAATTTTCTTAGGTACTCTATATGCTGATTAATGTCTGTTTATAAATCAATGTTAATTAACAGTGAGCAACCGCAACTCGTTCGATTGGAAGGATCTGCGTTTTGATATTAACATGCAATTGGTTGATAACAAGCTATGAAATATCATTGCATTAAATGTGATCGTTAGGTTAGGTTATAATTACCTCCGAAAGTATTACCGGTCCTATAAAGTAACGAGTTATTCCTTAACTGCTAAGTAACAGATGTATTACTATTGATTACTTTAACAAATAGAAGGTTAGAGTAACAGATGCCCTATTTGTGTAATGCTTAATTAACAGAATAATTTACTTACTTTAACACGTACGTATTATTGTATTTATGTCGCACTTTTTACAATATATTCACTTGTTTGTCGTAGCTCTGTTCAATACCTTCTTTCTGTGTAACGTTCATCTTTTAACAATTGTTAATATTTATGCGATTTGCATGCCTTCCACATGCACCACTAAGAGAAATTAGCAGGTTATTTTGTCCTAATATTGACACTTCTTACCCACTGCGCGAGCAGAGAAGAGACGTAGCACTGATGTGCCCTCTGGCCGGGCCAATCTGGGTCAGGATAAGCGAAGAAGTGCTGCTCTATTGAGACACAGTTAACTCGTACTAAATGTCACATATTCATTAATTTGGGGATTAAAAATTTGCATCCTCGTTCCCTGCAGTTGGGGAAAAATCGACTCCAATAATACAACCTAAATTTTTATTAGTTTCTTTATGCAGAAATGGCGCTTTTTCAACTATTTTGTTGATGTCCAATAAACGCTGGGACAAAGAAACTAGTAAGTTAATAACAATATTTACTCGCTTACGATAAATATTCTCAAAACATTAAAATGATCCAATTAATAATCTATGAATTACCAATTGCCGATTAAATGTTCAGCAGATATATGTACTCAATAATCTATATTCTATACCATATGTACACGAATCCCAATTTAGTATCAATTGCAATACATCCACTCCACCATCATCTCCATACACTCCACCACTCACCATTGTTAAATGAATAGACAATTGGGCAGTTCGAATGATGAAAGTAACACATAAGTTGACCATTAACAATTTGATATGAAGCAGTGAGCTATAACTGTGGCAACGAGGCACAAACCTGCTTCGTTAACAAAAAATTGTTCATGCATCTTTACGTTATCGCGGCGCTTTGTGCGCTTGTAAGTAACAATAAATGAGGAATACACAAATAAATCAATGTGCACAACTTGATCACCATTGCTTCGCTTCCAATTTCAACCCAAGACGCTGAATCCACTTACTGTTCCACTTCACCGCGAGAATTTGATATTCATGGAGCCGAATAAAAGTCAGACATGAAGCAGAATAAGCGTACATGGAGCAGAATAAGAATCGGACATGGAGCAGAATAAGAGTCAGACATGGAGCAGAATAAGAATCGGACATGGAGCCGAATAAAAGTCAGACATGAAGCAGAATAAGCGTACATGGAGCAGAATAAGAGTCGGACATGGAGCAGAATACGAGTACATGGAGCAGAGTAAGAGTAAATGGAGCAAAATAAGAGTCAGACATGGAGTAGATCACAAGTCGGACATGACGCAGAATACGAGTCGGACATGACGTAGAATAAGTCAGACATTGAGCAGAATACGAGTCGGACATGACGCAGAATAAGTCCGACATGGAGCAGAATACGAGTCAGACATGGAGCAGAATAATTCATACTGGCTAACAAAGAAATTATGGAAACGTAGAATCTATTTTAGGATATTACACGATCATCACATTTCAGTGAATGATAACATACAGCATCTACGTAAGAAACGCGTGTCAATGTGTCCGAGGACATCAATTAATTTAATATGGAGTTATTTGTTATCAATCACTTTAATAAGTAATACTTTACTATCAATTACTTCAATAAGTAGTAGGA